AAAAAAAAAAAAAAAAAAAAAAAAAAAGAAAAAGAATTACTCTCCAATGGAAAAAATTAAAATAAAGCCTCGGGAAGAAACACAGCTTTATTCTTGAAATTTCTTCCGAAAGAAATCGGAAATTAAAATTCTCGTTTTGATTTCAACGCTCGATCTCGAATCTTGTTTCTTCAATCTGAGATCATTTCTCGCTTGGAAATATCATTTGTTTAGGCTCGAAACGAAATCGTTTCGCTTTGATTTCTCCCTGTGGAAAGGGAGAAACGCTCGTCTTCGTCGCTCTATTCTAACTAATTGTTAAACTACCACTGGAATTTACCCGATTTTACGGTTAAACGCGCGAGCCTGTTAATTTTAACTCGTAAGATGCACGTGAAAACGGGCAACATCAAAGGACCTCGATGTTAACAGCTGGTTTACATTCGTGGCATTTTGTATGCTTTCGAGTTTGGAATGCTCGTTTGGATGGATCGGAATGCATCTCTAAAATTGCAAAAGACCTTGCGTGAAAAAAAAGAAAAAAAGAAAAAGAAAAAAAATATTCATACATATTTGATTAACGATAATTGAAAACGAGTTGGCCTCGTATCCCGACAGAAGGTTGATTAAGGACCACCGAAATGAAAAAGAAGATATAACCGCTCTTTCGCTTTCGTGTAAAGCCATGCGTCACGCGTACGAGTTGAACGAATTACGGAATACGAAACGAAATTGAATCCTTTAATACGTGTCTGGTAAACTGTTGTTCGCTGTTTTCGCGCGTTTCGCATCTCGCGTGGACGATTAAATTGGATTATAGGATGTGGAAATTCTCGAAGGAGAGACGTTATGATAAGAAATGGACGCTCTCTTTCTTTCTTTCTTTCTTTCTTTCTTTCTTTCTTTCTTTCTTCTCTCCCGAGAAGAAGCTTGTTTTCGCGATACATCACCAAGATCATCACAAAAAGGGAGGTATATAGATTATACTTAGTTGGCCGAGTTGGATAATTTGGAATACGATTGATATACCAGTTATTTATATATCAGAGTACCCGGCTAATAATAGATTTTTTGCATTGAAATAAGCAGCTCGAGAATGAATGGATAAAATTTGGGCCGGAACGATATCGATCGTCCATTTTTGTTTTCGTTTCAATGGAATTGAAATTTATAAAATCGTCTTGTCTTTTTATTCTTGTTAATTTCTTTCTTTTCCTTATCCTTATTTGAATCGATAATGAAAAAATCGGTCTCTAAAATTGCGATGAAAGGATCACGTTGAATGTTGCAGGATACTGGCCATTCGGAGTGGTGTGGTGTAACGTGTACGTGACGTGCGATGTGCTGGCCTGTTCCGCGAGCATAATGCACATGTGCTTCATCTCGTTGGGCCGGTATCTCGGCATCCGGAATCCTTTGCGGACGAGGCACACGTCCACCAAACGGATGGTCGGCTTCAAGATAGCGGCTGTGTGGTTGCTCGCCATGTTGGTCTCCAGCTCGATCACGGTTCTGGGTAAAATGAGATTTTACACGTCCTTTACGCATTAGATTCGACGGTGAGTTCGGAATAATCGAGGACGAATATCGTTCGTTCGGGAAAACAATAATCGAAATTGGGAAAAAGAGATCGATACGACGTAATCGTAAAACCGGATCGGATATTCGGAAGGAAAGCGTTTCCTTGGAGCGGCAGGTTAAATGGGAAACTTGTAGAAGCGAACTCTTCTTCTTCTTCTTCTTCCTCTTCTTCTTCTTGCCATTCTATCCGAAGCAAAGGCTGCTCGATATTCGAAACTATTTACGCATACAGTGGAACCGTGGACTGGTCGATAAACGATTACGGTTTTGCCCAACGGGCGCCTCGTTTTTTGAGAGATCCGGGGAGGAGAAAGATTGCATTGTATCTTTCCAATCTTGTCTTTCTTTTTTCTTCTTCTTTTTTTTTTTTTTTTTTTTGAATGAACAATCTCTTAATCCTCAAATTTCCGTCCTAATTTTTCACATTTGCACGTTCTCGGATCACTCTTATTCACCGATTAAATTAATACTTTTAAAAGTACTCCTAAAAGTCTTGGATCTAGAGAAAATCTAAAGTCCTTGTGCAATTAAATGTCTCTCTTTAAATAGCTAATAAATTATGCGCGTAGCGGATTTGAAATAAAACGAAGCAAATTACGCAGGCAATGAAACGTTGTACTGAATGTGTTCGCCGAAAGGGTTATATATACGCTTCAAGTGATCTTGGTTTTGATCCAGATAGAGAATTTAGATAGGATTTGTACTTACGCATATTCATAAATATCATTCGCGTTGAATAATTTACCAAATTCCTTCGTCCCCTTCGTCCAATAGATTAATTTTATTATTTGTAACAATCTTTTTCCCCAGGCATAATAAATCCTCTGAATATTATGCCACGGCCGGGAGCATGCGTGATCAACAACAGAGCGTTTTTCGTGTTCGGCTCTCTGATCGCCTTCTACATACCCATGATCGTCATGGTAGCCACTTACATTCTGACGGTGCAGCTGCTCAGGCAAAAAGCTCGTTTCATCGCGGAACATCCCGAACGAGATCAGTTTCGAAGGCTGGGAGGCAGATACTTCTCGACCAAGGCCTCTTCCACCGCCACTTCGACCGTGGAAACCGCCACCCCTTCGTCATCGCGGTACACGTGGAGGACTTCCGGCGGTGTCGGAAGCGACAGGTAAGCGTAACGAACAAACAAATAACGAAATAACGAGCGGGGAAGATTTAGAATCGCGTGTAAATCTTTTGGAATTTTCCCTCTCGATAACGGGACGAAATGGAAGCAATTAGAAATCGTAATTTATCCCGACCGCGAGTACACCTAATCCAATTAATCTAACGCGACGTAAATTTCGCTGTTGAACATATTTTAACCGACTCAATCGCATTAATGGAATTAAAAATCTTTTTTGGTCCTATTTCACTCAACTTCCCCCCTTAATTGGAAAGGAAATTAAGGGATACGATTAGCGAGGCAAAATATGAAAAAAAAAAAAAAAAAAAAGAAAAAAGAAGCGACGAAATCTCGATCACGGTGAAAATTATAAATAACGCGATTAATTTATTCGTTCTGAAATTATTCTGGTCCGCTAAACACGATGCAATTTCGTGCAGTCAGATATCAATTTTTCTCTTGCATATTTCGGTAAAAAAGAAGAAAGAAATTTGGAATAAAATTTCGAAAGAACGAAACGTATGTAGCGTGTGTATGTGTGTGTGTGTGTGTGTATACGGTCCGCGAGGAGGGCCGTATGCTGCGATTCGTCGTGATAACTTGTTGCCACGGAACAACCGTTTAATTTTCCAGTTTAACCAAATTAAACGCGGAGGCTCTGTACCGTCGCAAACATAACAGGTGCAGGGGGGCAAGGTCGGCCGCAAAGTCTCAACCGCAGTTGAATTTCGCCGTGAACGGGGCGAGTAACCCGGCCGGAAGCGGAACGACGAGACTGGCGACGAAAGTGGATCAAGCGACCCAAACGCCTGAGAATATCGCCCGTGAAACAAGGAATTTCACTCTGAAGGCTTTGAAGCTCCAATTAAACGTCACTCCGAACACCCTGAATCTCAGGTTCGAATTCCTTTTCTCTCTCTCTCTCTCTCTCTCTCGTCACTTTGCTCAATTTGCTTTCGCGATTAAAACACGGATTCGTCCGTACACGATTATTTAGTTTATTCCCAAAAAGTATTGGAAGTATTTGTCTCGCTGTTTGCCTCGATCGTCCGTTTATAACGAAATTAACCGCGATATCGCGATCCTCGGGTTATCCCCGATGTTTGTCGCGATTCACTAGGTTGGCAAAGTTTAATCGCGAAATTGAGAGGTTGTTCGTATCCCGAAATCCCCCGGCACACACAGGATTGTGCGTTCAACGTGTGGAACGAGTCGCGTTCACTCTATGGGATTAACCCCCCCGAGCATGGAAACCCATTTGCACATGCAAATGGCGGTCGATTCGGCTGACTTTCGAATCCGGAGGGCAAACACAAGCTATATCCCCCGTGTTCTCAGGTTTCTCCCCGGTAGAACGAAGAGGAGATCGTTGGCCGCGAACGCCGTTGCAACGGAGCAGAAAGCCAGCAAGGTGTTGGGCCTGGTTTTCTTCATGTTCGTGCTCTGCTGGGCCCCGTTCTTTCTCTTGAACATATTCTTCGCCGCGTGTCCCGAGTGCTCGGTGCCTGTACACGTGGTCAACGTATGCCTGTGGCTCGGCTACGTGTCCTCCACGATCAATCCGGTCATCTACACCATCTTCAATAGAACGTTCAGGGCTGCGTTCATCAGATTGTTGAAGTGCAAGTGTTCCAGGTGAGTTTCTATAGGATAGATTAACGACCATTTTTGATTCTGCTTCTCGAATTTCAATACATTCAGAGATTTATCAAATGTTTTCAATCGTGCTTCTCGGGATGATTGGAATTTACTCGAAAATTTGGATATTTTTTTTTTTTCTTATTATATTTTGGGTGCGCTCTTTTCTTAGCTTTATCGAGGCTTATGTAGATTTTTGCAATATTGGCGATATTCTGTCAAGACAACGTTCGCATTCGAACGTTAAATAGAAAGGACAAGTGATTGGTACTCGAAAGATAATATGCACGTATCTGAAAAGTATTCGATATTTCTATCTTTCAAAAATCGACGATCTCTAGATAAGAAATAATTGGACCTTCATCGATAAGCATTCGCAACTAACGATCTTCTTTAATTTCTTCTCGAACTTTCCACGTACCTCGTCAACAAGAAAAAGAATAGTAAAAAAAAAAAAAAAAAAAACGGGGAAAAACCTTTTATCGCTCATTCTCTTTACCTGTACCTGTCGAAAAACTTGGTCCCATAAGAAAGAAAGACAAATCTCGGCAAAAATATCCACGAAGAAGAAGAAGAAGAAGAGGAAGAAGAATAGGTAGGGGAGGTATTAAATCCCATAGCACGTTCCTGGCCCCGTATTGTAGGCAATGAAAGCCCGATAGACCGATCGTTCCACGGGCTTATTACTCTTCTTTAATGCATGTACCTGAAGGAAGAAACGTTTTCTAGGTCAGCAAGGCCGAGACATCGTTCGGTGACGGAAAGTGGACGAAACGCGATGAGCCTGTGCACCCCGACCGCGCTGCCATTGGTCATTAGTCTTCAGGGTACGCCGTTGTTGACGCCAACACCGAATCCGACGGCCACGCCTGCCTCGGCAACCTCCTACGTGACGATGATGCATCGCACGCCAACCTCCCTTTACCGTGACGCTTTTCATCAACAGGAGCACGATCAGAATTGTTGAGGAGAACAAAAGTGTCCCTCCTCCCGGGGATGCGAGATCGATCACGGGTGGAACGCTCCACGATTCCTCGTATCGAGGGGATTTCTGTTCCTTTTTTTCTTCTTTTTTTTTTCCATCTTTGTGAAAAAATTATCGATGGATTTCGTTATGCGAATTCTGATTCGAGAAATCGGGGAAGTATGTACAAAAGTTTTCCAACTAGAAATTATTATTCCCCCTTATTTACGCGAGAAGAGATGAAATGAAATTAAAAATCCTTCGAATATATGGATATATATATGGAATATGGATGCGTAATGGAGAGAAATCGAGTAACTCGAGAGAATGTTTGACATTGATCTAAAAATACCTGCCGCACAATTTTTGCCTCTGTGTCTTTTCATGCTCAATCGTGGTAGAGGAAGAACAGCAAAGAATCCCGAGAAGAAATATATATATATATATATAAATATGTAAATGTGATAAAACATTTTGTATTGTCGTTTACTTTCTTCTGGATATTTTCCAGACGATGCAAAGATCGTTGATCCAAGTGTTTCATCGAACCAAAGATTATTCATAAGTGGAAACGTACCTTTTAGAGAGAAGTGGAGTAACGAATTAGAAGTAAAAAATTGCATGGAATAAAGAATAGCGCGTCGATTCCATCGTAATGATCGCGCGGACGATCATTTTTCATCGATCTTGTATCTCTTCTTCTTTTTTTTTTTTTTCTTTTTTCTCCGATACGTGTCGATTAAAACGCACTATCGTCTGTGATACCGATGGAAAAAATATTTCTTCGTTCCACCGCGGATATCGAGATTATTCCGTTCAGTAGAAGAGAGATTCGATAAATAAAACAATCAAGAAGAAATTAAATAATAAAGAATAGAATCTTATTTACCTATAGAATTTTCTCGATTTTAAATCCATCGATCGACGAAATTCCCACACTTTCCAGCCAGGAAGAAAGAAAAAAAAAAAAAAATGTCATTCCTACTTTACCTTCATTTGTACTAACTTTTATTTGACAAATAAAAAGTATCCATTACAAATAATTGTAAACTGTATATCTTATATAATACACACATCGTGATACGAGCGAGATTACGATTCTCTCTCTCTCTTTCTCTCTTACCCATTCTCTCATGCATACATTTTTCATCTTAATTGTACACGCACACCACTTTCTCCCTCTCTTTCTCTCTCTCTCTCTCTCTTTCTGTCTCGATTTTCTTTTTCTTCTTTTCCTCGGCCGATTCACAATTACTGGAACTTTCTTCCATCTGTGTCTTCCCTCGACACGCGTTCGCACAAACAAACACACACAGAGACACACACGCTAAACACACCAATTTCTCTCCCTCTCACGCATTTCGTGTGTGTATATGTATGTATATGTATTTATGTATGTTTCTCTGTTTTGTTGCCTGTTTCTCGTGTGTTATTCTTATTACATAAATCGATCTCGGAGTATAATGAAAAAATGTTCCGTGCCGCTTCCATGACTATTCAAAATTTATTATCTACGTTGACGCCAATTCGAAATAATAAAAAAAAAAGAAAAAAAAAAAAAAAAAAAAAAAAAAAAAAAAAAAAAAAAAAACCATACATAAAATGACATTTCTTTAGAATTTAAAGATAATTCCACCATCGAATTCCTCGTCAAGTGTTAAATATATCGATAGCAGAGAAAAATGGACTGAATGTAAATTAAAATCAACGAGAACAAATTCATCGTTGCAATTGGAAGAGAAGCTTGCCAAGAACATTTCTCATCCCCGACATCACGAAAAAGACGGTACAATCGATCGTGAGTCGAACGAAAATGCACGCGCGATTCTCTGTTCGAGATCACGCGGACGTAAAAGATTCCCTTTTTATTTCTTTCTTCTTTATTTTTTTTTTCCTTTTTTCTTCCTTTTTTTTTTTTTTTTTTTTTTTTTTTGATCTTCGTTTACCACGGCGCTGGGTGGCGGGGGATGGGGGAGGGGGTGGATCATCGGAAAAGAGGGGGGCTTGGTTTTCCTTATTAAACCTAAGAGAAAAAAAGGGCGGCTCCGCGTCGACCGGCGCCGGTCGTTTAATAGAGATGCGTTAAAAAAAATGCCCTTCGTAGCGTCATCAAAATCCTTTCTTTTTTTTTCTTTTTCTTTTTCTTTTTTCTTTTTTTTTTTTTCCTTAAGGTTATGATTTCGCATCTTTTCTTCTATTTCCGTTTCGTTACGAGGTTACGGTATTATATTGTATCAGGGTATGGAGGAGAGAGAGGGTAAAAAGGGTGGTGAGAGTTTCTATTCGAGGAAGGGAAAGAGGACGAGTTCGCTCTAACTTAAGGGCGGCTTTTCGATTCTTCTCTATTATTTCATTGTCACTTCTTTCTCATCTGCGATAAATCTCTATTTAAAATTGGCGCCCGCGCGCTTGTTCAAGTTTGCAACCTCCAAAAAGAGAACACTCTTGTTGCGTCCTATCGCCGACGAACCCAACGTATAAAAAGTTTCAGAGGAAACTAGATGAATCTTTGCAGAGCTCGAGAAGATGCAAACAGGATTGACTTCGGGTTAGTATTAATTTACGAACGAATTTCTTTGTTTTTTTTTTTTTTTTTTTTACTTTGCTTTCTTGCTTCTAAGACTCTGCTTCGAACGACCCGCGCGAAGAGACCACTTGTACTGGTGTTCACTTTTGAAAGTTCGAACTTGATGTTCGATGTTTTGTTAAATGTTTGTTAATTTAAACATTTCGATCCATACGTATAAGTAATAAAACTTTCTTCCTATTAAGCTGCTTTTTCTTCTTCTTCTTCTTCTTCTTTTTCTTTTTCTTTTGTCTTCTCGCAGATGATCGTAACGTGTGATTTTTTTTTTTTTTTATGTCCTTAGAAGTGATGTATATACGCAATATAATTTCTAATACATTGGCCATTCTTATTATTTAAGAACCAAATTACGTCCTTTTCCGGTTAAACGCGTTACCTATTTTCTAAAAAAACGCATCCTCAGACTTCGTTGCAAGTTTTTTTTCCTTTTTTTGATTCAACATCTCGTACTATATAGCGATATTTCCAAAACAGAGTTGCCTTGTATAATAGCTTAGTAGTTTATCACTCTCTATTATTAGAATTCTTACACGCTTAACAGTTACATCGCAGAAAAAGAGATTACGAACACTTTTTACGCGCTCGATCAGTAAAATTGATAAGTATACGATCAATGCAAAATTACTCTTCTTAATCGTACGATAGTTAATCATAATTAAAGATAATCGTAATGCAGCAATAGACGGGTGGCGGGCAGCGATTGAGGAAAGGGAAATGATATCGTTA